GGCCCGTAGCTTACAACATCTTATGAGAAGGGCCTGTAGCTCGATACAATTGTTGGCCAGTTGCTTACTTGCGTATGGGCAGACGTATTCAGCCATTCCCATCCCTCATCAGGGAGGGCCCAGCTTGACAAAGATTTTGATGTGGATGAGAGGGGGAGCATCTTTTTTAGATATCCCCGCAATTAGAGCTATTAGATGAGAAGAGACTTCGCGCCATGGAACATGTCCAAGTCTACCAGAAAATTCCAGTGCATTCCAAAATCAGGTAATATAGAGAAAGTTCAACATAGGGGAGAAAGTCTTGAAAAAGATTCTTTCCGGACGTGAGCCTCATCCAAGATGGAAACTCCATTTTGTGCTCGCTCTCTTCTGTCATGCGCATCATGGCTGGGTGAGTTGGCCCATTGCGAATTCTTCCAATCTGGTCATGCACTTTTTTAAGATGCGGAACCTGGGAGCTTTCCTCTTCAAAATAGGGGTAAATTTTTCGTAGGGGGGTAAGGAAGGTGCCGAGATCGTAATAGAAAGGAGTTGATAGTCCCGTCTGCTAGGCTTTTCCGAACTTCCCTTCTTCTGCCCGTTAAATCCTTTTCTTCTGCTTTTTCCCAACGATATATCCCCATTCTTTAAAAAAAAGAAAGCATATATTAGTTCCAGAGAATCATCCGAACATTCTGAGATACGGTTGTCAAATGGGAGAAGAGGAACGAGAGGCGTCCCTAAGCTTTCCGGCTCACTAGTAAGTGACGAGGGGTTTTAATTTCATTCTCAGAACCTCCTTCGAATTACAGAACTGGAGGGGGTCTCACAGGCATCTCTCTTCGAGCGGCAGTGCAAGCTCGGATGGTGTTAGCGCTGGCAGAAGGTCCGAAGATTCATTTCCAAAAATAGGAATGTCAGAGCAGTTAGTCCGCATGTCCCTAACTACCTTGTTCCTGATTGGATTGCTTTCTTAGTGTGGCATCTTTTTGTTCGCTGTCCACTAGTGAGATTATCATATATAAATGTAGATAGAGAAAGAGGCTAAGCCTACGTAACGCTATGGGAATAGCTTTTTTTGTCCGCTTTCAGCTATGCTATATAGATGCGCTACCTTGTGAAAGAAAACATCATATGTAAGTAAGTAGCATCTAGAATCGAATACAGAGCAGCTAAGAAAAAAAATCGAGTAGCTTGCGGGCCGGTCGTCAGTTCAGACTAGCTGGTCAGTGGGGGTCAGAGAGTGTTCCGTTAGTGTTCTCACAGTCTCAGTGCGACCTTGCTTGGTCAACAATTTGGAGAGTTTGCGAAACGAAGACTTTCGAGAACAAATATTAAACCGGGAAGAAAAAAGGGGAAAAAGTAAAGAAAGTAACAATAAGGCGCATATGGCACGAAAAGGAAATCCGATTTCGGTAAGACTCGATCTGAATCGTAGTTCAGATTCAAGTCGGTTCAATGAGGGCGACCGCGAAAGTCACCGAATGGGTCAGTCTTTTCCTTCCTTCAGTTTGTCCTATATATGTTGAATAAAAAAGCTTGGGATGGGAGGACGTAGCAGATGTCCGGGACGGACACGACTTCTTCTAACGCTAGAAGACCACTGGAAGAGACCCGGGACCAGAGCATGTCGTGAAAGAAGCACACCGGGCGGGCGTGCTTCGACCGTGTCTCCGGGGCACAGTTGAATGTAGATATCATGAACGCGAGGTGCAGGATACCAGGCCGAGAAACCCGGCACCCCCTATGTGCCGATCGCTAGCGCATCCAGGGCCCCGGCGCCCTGCGGAGCTGGAGAGGCCTAGCCTGATCTGAGAAGTGCTAATTCGGTTCGGATAGACTTCATTCAAGAACGCCGCCGCCCCTGGAATCAATAAGAAAACTAGTGCTAAGTTTCAGATCAGTGAATAAACCGAAACGAAAGAAGAAAGAGACCTTTCTCGCTCGGCGCCTAAAGCGCACTATGCTCCGCTTCAACAAATGAGAGTTTTCGGTGGAACCGGTGAACCACGCGAGCTGGTTAGATGCGTGGGACAGAGGGCTCATAGTACCTGCTAGCGCAGCTATGCAGTGGAAGGGAAGGAGCCTAAATCGACCCCCTTATTTTTATTATTTTAAAAATAAATAATAAAAAAGTACAAAGAGATTAGACTCTCGGATGAGACTAAGCAGCCACCGACCGTTCCGACGCGCCCCTGACCTATTTTTTTTATTAAGACCGAAAACCTATCTAAAATGGAGCCTAGTTTAGGCTGTCAAACAAATGATAAAATAAAAAATATTTAATATAACCACTAGTAGGGATATGGATGGAGTCTCGCTCAGTAAAGAGAGTTGTAGATTCCTAGAAAAGGAGAGGAGCCTCGACTTTCTATGATGTTCTTAGTCAAGAAGCGCTAACGCTGCAATCTTTCTAAAGCAAGAAGCGAGAAAGTTTACATTGAGAAAGAAGGTGCTTGTTGCCGCTTTCTTATTTTTTTATAGTAAGTAAGTAAACTTGTTTTGTTTTAGTTTATAAGGCGAAAGGTTGCTATTTTTATAATTATTATAGCGTTAGCGCTTTAGTTTTAATAAGTTTAGGCTTGACTAAGAACATAGAAATGTTGAATCAGGGTGCGCAGGGAACCCTATACAAAGGGCCTTTCCCTTCAAATGACAACTGCCTCTTCCTGCTGCGAAGGCCTTGCACGAAACCAACCCCCACCCCCGATCCAGTACCAGTTGTTTCGCTGGTAGGCCCACTTAGGTTAGGGGGGCATTGTCCCTCAGTTCTTACCAACCTCCGGTGTGTAATCGACATGTTGCTAACTTCAACTCGATTGAATAAGAATCATTGATTCCCTTTGCTGTCCATTTATTATTCATTCAGGGCGCTCGGCCGGTGCTCCTTTTTTAAACCAGAACAACTCTGAACGTTAGAGAAGAGAAGATAAGGGAAGACCACCTGAGCGAACCGACCGAGGGGACTTGACTTATTCGAACCGAACGATAGCGGCTTAAAGCTAAGCCTATCACGAGCAGCGTCGCTGCTTGATCGGCGGGGAGAAGCATCTCAAAGTATGGGGCAAAGGATCAAGCGCTTTGACTTTGTCTCCCGGGATTCACCACAGGTTGGGTTTGAGAGCCGTGTGATGGGTGACTATCCAGCACGGTTCGGAGAGCACTTTTTGTCAGCGTTGGTGAATGGAAGCCCCTCTATCAAGAAAGAAGCGGCTATTCCCACGGCGGAGTCACCATTGACTCTATTTATTATTATGGTAAATTAGTTTATCAAGATGTCAATCTGAGATCTTATTTCGGTTCGATACGTCCACCTGCGAGACTAACCTTTGGCTTTCGTCTCGGTAGGTGTATTCTTATACATTTTCCCAAAAGAACATTCATTCATTTCTTTCTTCCCCGTCGACCACGACGACTGAAACGACGCGATAAATCCAGACCCGGAAAGGAGAAGGGCCGGTGGTGGGCATTTGGGAAAGTCGGGCCGATCGGGTGTCTTCATTCCAGCAACAAGAAAGAAGAAGAACGAAACGAAGTGAGAGGCCGGAGGGCAGGGAAAAGAGTCGAGTCGATCAGGCTCGACGACCGGGAGAAGCAAAACGAAATTAGGATTTGGCCGAAAAAGAAGCAACGCTATGGATACCATGACCGATCACCATCGATAAAGAATAATCTTTCTAAATCACTTCGGGTCAGCGGGGCCTTCAAGCATCCGAAATACGCCGGGGCTGTAAATGACATAGCGTTCCTGATAGAAAATTACGACTCCTTCAGAAAAACGAAGTTTTTTAAGTTATTTTTCCCCAAGAAGTCCCGCTCCGACGGCCCGACGAGTCATCTATTTAAAAGGACCCTCCCTGCAGTGCGCCCCTCCTTGAATTATTCGGTCATGCAATACTTTTTTTGTAGAAAGAACCAAATGCATTTCGACCCCGTCGTAGTTCTCAATCATTTCGTGGCACCGGGCGTGGCTGAACCATCTACGATGGGGGGAGCGAATGCGCAGGGAAGAAGCTTAGATAAGAGAATACGTTCTCGCATCGCTTTTTTTGTAGAAAGCTCGACCAGCGAGAAAAAGTGTTTGGCCGAAGCCAAAAAGAGGTTGACCCACTTCATTCGCTTGGCGAATGATCTTCGCTTCGCGGGAACAACAAAAACCACCATCTCGCTCTTTCCTTTCTTCGGTGCTACCTTTTTCTTTCCAAGGGATAGAGTTGGGATTTATAATAACCTTTTTTTTGAGGATGCCCGGGAACCACTCCTAGGTCAATTAAGGATCAAATGTTGGAACCTCATGGGTAAGGATAAGGTAATGGAATTGATAGATAAATTCATAGACCTAGGTAGGATAGGAGAGTGGATAAAGGGAATAGAGATGATGATAGAGATCATACTGAGAAACAGAAAAATTCCGTACGGGTACAACTCTTATTTGAACGAAGTGAAAAAAATGCGATCTTTGTTGTCTAATAGAACAAACACTAATACCTTAATTGAGTCGGTCAAGATCAAATCTGTTTATCAAAGTGCTTCTCCGATTGCTCAAGACATCTCTTTTCAACTGAGAAAGAAAACAAGATCATTTCGTTCCATTTTTAGTAGAATAGTTAAGGATATTCCATTAGTAATGAAAAAAGGGGTTGAGGGGATCCGTATATGTTGTTCAGGTCGATCAGAAGGCGCAGAAATAGCTAGAACTGAATGCGGAAAGTATGGAAAAACATCTCGTAATGTATTTAACCAGAAAATCGATTATGCTTCTGCGGAAGTATCTACTCGTTACGGAATCTCAGGTGTCAAAGTGTGGATTTCATATAGTAAAAAAAAAAAGGGACGTGCTATATCCGAAACGTACGAAATTTAGTAAATATCGTAAAGGCAGATGTAGTAGGGGTTGCAAACCAGACGGAACAAAACTAGGTTTTGGAAGATATGGCACTCAAAGTTGTAGAGCTGGTCGTCTTTCATATCGAGCCATTGAAGCAGCGCGTCGGGCTATAATCGGGCACTTCCATCGTGCTATGAGCGGACAATTCCGAAAAAATGGTAAGATATGGGTAAGAGTTTTCGCAGATATCCCTATTACCGGGAAACCTACAGAAGTAAGAATGGGAAGAGGAAAAGGAAATCCTACGGGTTGGATTGCTCGTGTGTCCGCGGGACAAGTCCTATTTGAGATGGATGGTGTGAGTTTGTCAAATGCTCGACAAGCCGCTACATTAGCGGCGCATAAACCATGTTCGTCAACCAAGTTTCTTCAGTGGTCGTAACGTAATTGGTTAGTGGGGAAAAACCAGGCCGGGACTCAAAAGAATTAGGCGAAGGGTTTGTTCCTGAACGAGGGAAGTGGAAAGACACTAAGGGAGAGGGATATACTCCTTTTTGAATCGCCGAAATTGTACGACTGTTCCAGGCGTACGACCCTGATACGTTACGGTTTTTTTCGGGTACTCTTTCCTGTGATTGTATTGGATATTCTTCTTTATGATCACAAGGTGGTGCGGTGCTTGGGCAGGTCTTCTCTGATTACGTTTGGACGTGACAGGGAAGCCAGGAGGTCCAGGGACATAGCCGACCGATGCACTCCCCATCCAGCAGAAAGAGATTTAGTCACGGTTGACCCCCCTTTTGGTCTACATTTCTTTGCCACGTTTGTTTCAGCCTGTTCTCTTCTTGTATTGCTTCTTGTCCTTTTTACTTACAATTTTAAAATAAAAATCTTTTTTTTAGTTTTATTTATTTCTTTTATATTTAAGTTATTTAATAAAATTGTTTCTTGATTTTTATTAAAAGATTAACTGGATCAAAATTTGAGTTTTATAAATACTCTTATTAAAATTTAATCACATGCTTATAATTATCATTTTATCTCCAAATTTTTTTTATTTACTTCGCTTATTTAATCTAATTTTCGTACTAATTAAAGATTGTTAGTTACTTATGACCTTGTTAAAGTAAAGATAGAGAATCTTACCCAAGATCTATACTAAGTTTTTTTGTACCTTTTAGTACCTATGCTTCCTTGGTGGTTATATGTGCTTGGCATGATAATATTCGATTCGTGAAAAGATACCTTGGCTCATGAGTTGGTTGTACCATGTTTCATCTTACATGTTGGATATTCAAGTCATGATTTTAACTTTAATACATATTACTTCTATCTGTTTTCCTTTTAATAATATGATTGCATGTGTCTATTTGTCCAAGAGAAGAACCTGAATATAACTCTTTTAAGTTGTATATAATGCATTGTTTATTTGCATCTTTTCCCTCTGCTTGATCACTGATTCATTTCAGGTTGATTAGCTTAAGAGACACCCTTGTATTCTCAACATAAGATTACCATTTTCAATTTAGACAACTTATAGATTAAATCCCTTATTCTCCCACAAGAGAATTAGACGTGATTCATCTATGTAGTCGAGATATAATTCTCCTACCCCAGAACATAATTGAGAAAGATGTAGAATTTTTTCCGCTTGAGAGAGGTACGTGGCATATTCGTCGATGAAAATTCGAATTGTAGCCCTTCTCTCAATGCGATGCAAAGACCATCTTCCATACGCTTGTGGTGGTTGAAGGTGAGTATTCTCCCTAAGATGACGACTCGTCTCTTCTCCTAGAATCAATCAACAACCTTCCCCCCTTAGAACTTTGACCACAATTAATGGTTCCTCAATCCTTTTAGGGGAACTACGAATACTCTGATTCCATTCCCGTCAGAATACGTAGGCATAAGATGCGACTTCTTGGCGAGTATACTTAGAAATAACACCTTAGGTCTCCCTTTTTTTCCTTTTCACCCTTAGCAGACAAAATAACAAATAATACAATAAAGCAAGAGGTTTCTGTAGAGTACTACAGATACTTAGGATGCTAGCACCTTCCCTAGGTATAACCAACCCACGAACCTTAGATTCACTTTTGCTTTGTTTTTGCATTGCATATTTTGGGTTATTCGCTCTTTTTTCATTCCCTTGGATAAATTAAAGATCGGTGGTGAATTATGATTTGTGGTTCAAGTTAATTAATAGCTTGGTATCTGATTCTCACCACGACAGCTGGTGTGCCAAATTATCAGCCAAAACACTTCCTTTTATTGCTTTTTGAGTTCGGTACTCGATATCATATTCTAACAACAATATTTGGCAACGAGCAATCCTCCCAGCTAAAGCAAGATTTTCAAAGATATACTTGATTGGATCCATTTTATATATCAACCAAGTTGTACAATTCAACATATACTGGCGGAGGCGCTTAGCAGCCTAAGCTAAAGCACAGCATGCCTTTTCAAGCATTGAGTACCGAGACTCACAATTGGTGAACTTTTTGCTCAAATAATAAATGGCAAATTCTTTTCTCCCAGATTCATCTTGTTGACCCAGAACACAACCCATAGACTCTTCCACCACAGTCAAATACATGATCAAGGGTCTTCCTTCCACGGGAGGAGATAAAATAGGAGGTTCAAGAAGATACTCTTTAATTCTTTCAAAATCTTTCTGACAATCCTTTGTCCATACACAACCCTGATCTTTGCGGAGAAGCTTGAAGATCAACGCACATGTGGCAGTCATATTGGATATAAACCGAGAGATATAGTTCAAATGTCCCAAGAATCCTCTTACTTGTTTTTTTTTGTTTTGTTTTGGGTGCAGGCATTTCCTGAATAGCTTTAACTTTATCAGGATCAACTTCGATGCCTTTCTGAATGACAATAAAGTCCAACAACTTTCCAGAACAAACACCAAAAGTGCATTTATTAGGATTCAGACGGAGCTTAAACTTCCTCAAACGTTGAAACAGCTTCAATAAGTATTCAATATGATCTTCTTCATTCTTCGATTTACAAATCATATTTTCCACATAGACATCAATTTCTTTATGCATCATATCATGGAACAAAGTGGTCATAACTCTCTAGTATGTTGCACCAGCATTTTTCAGACCGAAGGGCATCACTATGTAACAGAATGTTCCCTAGGGTGTAATGAATGTTGTTTTTTTTCCATATCCTCGGGCGCCATCTTTATTTGATTATAACTAGAAAATCAATCCATAAAGGAAAAAATATTGAACTTAGCAGTATTATCTACCAGCATATCAATGTGTGGCAGTGGAAAATCATCTTTCGAACTTGCTTTATTCAAATCTCTATAGTCAACGCACATTCGGACTTTTCTGTCTTTCTTTGGAACATGAACAATATTGGCCATCCATTGAGGATACTCAACAATCACAAGAAAACCAGCATCAATCTGCTTTTGAACCTCCTCTTTAATCTTCACAGCCATGTCAGAATGAGTTCTTCTCAATTTTTGTTTCACAGGTGGAAATTCAGGCTTCAATAGCAAATAGTGCTCCACAATATCAGTATCAAGACCAGGCATGTCTTAATAGGACCAAGAAAACACGTCAACATATTTTCTAAGAAGCTTTACCATCCTCTTCTTAACATCTAACTGAAGTAGTGCCCCAATCTTGACTTCTTTCTAATCATCATTGAAACCCAAATTAACCAATTCCAACGGCTCTTCGTGAGGTTGAATGATCTTTTCCTCGTGCTTAAGCAATCGGTAAATTTCATTAGGAATCTCTTCAACATTATCTTCTTCTGCTTCAAACACAGGGAACTTAAAGTTGGGAGAAGGTAAAGGGTTATTGTATTCAATGGGTTTAACAAACAATCTGCACAATGATTTATATTTAATTTTACAATAGGAACAAGAAGGGCAAATATTATGTAGATAAAAGTGATCGCCATATTATTTTTTGGTTTTGTTTTTTATGTTACCATTTTTCAGAAATAAAGCAAAAAGGGAAAACATAATATGGATAAACAAAATAACATTTTATTAATGATGATAAAAGTTAAAACAAAACTCTCACAAATTCACTTTCACCTTGGACAGAGTGAAAGGATTTTTAAAAGAAACAAAAAAAATTACTTTGAAACATGAACAACAGTATGAATGTTAACAACAATCCAATTTTGGCATATCAATCCACGTGTCACAAAGTTGGACATTTCTTCCTCTTGATCATCCTCAATGATGGCACTGACTTCAAACTCAGGCTCCTTAAGTCTTGGTTAAGGAGATTAGAAGGGTACATATGCATCTTCTGTCTCAGAACCGTATCCAGGATCTTCCAAATAAGGCTCCCAGTCTTCAGCAGGAATGAAATCATCTTCAAAACCATCTAAGATGTAATCTTCAGAGTCATCTTCAAGCATTGTAGTTGTAGCATGATCTTTGGCATATATGAACCCAACACTTCAAAAAACCTCATGAATAACCTTCAGCTCTCTGCAGGTTGAACCAGGTGCAAAACCCAAACCAACTCTATCTTTTTTCTCAACAACTTCAATGACTCGACTCCATCCATCAGCTTGGCCACTCTTCAACACATGTTGTGCATCTTTCAGAGAAGACATGGACACTTCATTCTTCTTAACATCATTATCAACTACAGAAAGAACCTAGAACGGAGTTCAAAAATCCTCGTCAGCATCAATATAAGAAAAAGATGACCAACTGCTTACCAACATAGCCTGTTCTCCACCAACAACAACAAGTTTTCCATTCTGGACAAATTTCAACTTTTGGTGGAGTGTCGAAGTGACAGCTCCGACTTCGTGAATCCAAGGGTGTCCCGGAAGACAATTGTAAGCATGACCAATATCCATTACCAGAAAAGTAATCTGGAATAAGCACAGACCTATCTTGATCGGGAGATCAACCTCTCCAATCACAGTCTTCCTCGAGCCATCAAAGGCTTTCACCTCGACCCCATAGAATCTCATAGGAGTACCTTAATAAGACAATCTGGATAAAATGAATTTTGGTATCACATTCAATGATGACCCGATATCAACTAACACATTGGATAGGGCATCCTCTTGGCAATTCATGGAAATATGAAGAGTCAAATTATGATTTCTTCCATGTTTAGTCAACTCTTCATCACAAAAGCTCAGATTGTTACACGCAGTGATATTGGCAACAATGCTATCAAACTTATTAACAATCACATCATGATCTATGATCGGTAAAATAACAAGTGTACTATTTTGCCAATGTAGTAATAATGGGGATTTCCCCGAATATCGATATCGAGGACTGCATAGGAAAGACAAGTCTAAAATAATTCAGTTGAAAAAAAGCATTTGGGGTTTTAAAATGGTTTGGTTGAATTATAAAAATATTTGCAAGTAAAAGAGAGAAATTTGACTAAGTGGTTTTAAAATATATGAGTAACACACTAGGGA